TGTATTCACCTTTCCTTATCTAAATTTATTACCTTCTGTTTAGACTTTGGACTGGTAACACTTCCATAATGATTACAGTACCCATTTGACAGGATTAAAATTAATTTAAAAAGCATCATGTCTGGGTGTGTAGCTCAGGTAGAGTGCTTGCCTAGTATGAACAAAGTCCTGCATTCAATCCCCAGAAGTCCATAAAGTCAGGCATGGTGGTGCATATCTGTAATCTCAGAATTCAGGAGGTAGAGGCATGGGGATCAAAAGTTCAAGGTCATCTTCCACTACATAGCAAGTTCAAGGCTAGGTATTACATGAGAACTTGTTTCCAGCATCCCCATGTTTCATAACACCTAAATGATTGGTAGTAATTATCACTATTAATGTGAGAAAGAAAACGAGGGCTCTGAGTTCTTTGAGATTGTAGAATACGTCAGTAGTCATTCTGGACTGGACCTCAGGAATCCTTAGACTGAGTAAGGACTTGCTTTCACCCTGTCTGTGTGTTTTGAGTTCACATAGAAGAAAGCATAGTGTGGAACAAAGCAATGGTTTGGACTGGGTGATCTTTAAGGCCCCTTCTGCTCTCAGACACCCCAAGGTTGCTCAGATGAGTGCCACTCTAATGCCTAGGCTCAGCATCTGGTCAAGAACCAGTTAATGTTTGGAACAACCAGCAGATGAGCAGATGCTGACTAACACATCCACGGGCTAATGGTTTATTTTAACAGCAAAGGCTCAGCGTTACTGACCTGGAAAATGACTCGTCAGCAAAGTATTGACAGCAACAGGATTCAGGGACACCAGAAAATTCTAGACTTTGAATTCTCTAAATTTCACAGATACTCTTTCTTAGGAGGCATATTAAACTGAAAATATTTAAGTTTTAACCTTAGCAGTTAGAATCACAGCTTCTCTGTGTTCTTCCTCAGTATATAAAATCCTTTAAAGACACTGAAAAGTGACTTTTTATCGACCACCTGAATATTTGTGTAATAGATACTTTCCCTAAATTAAGGCTCTTTTCCTGTCAATCAAGAGATAAAATCAAAGACTAATATAAAAAATAACAAGGCTTTAAGCATTTATGTCAACACTGACCAAAAAAAAAAAAAATTGTACTTTTTATTGACAGTTAGAATCACAGCTTCTCTGTGTTCTTCCTCAGTATATAAAATCCTTTAAAGACACTGAAAAGTGACTTTTTATCGACCACCTGAATATTTGTGTAATAGATACTTTCCCTAAATTAAGGCTCTTTTCCTGTCAATCAAGAGATAAA